ACACACACACACACACAGTGTATTATTATGCAGAGAATCAGCGGGCTGTCATGACAACTGATCAATGAAAGTATTCCATTTGGCTGACCATCTTTCTCTCTCTGTGTGCGAGCGCACTGTTTTTCCCCGGGAATGAGGGAGCAGTAATGCCCTGTGAAATGCTGACAGCACCACAAACCACTCCACTAGGGCCACTAGACTACGACTAGACAGTGTCAGCATTTAAGTCTAACTGACTGGATTTACAATACTTTTGTTCCAGTTTATGTGAGGACAGGCAAGGGAAAAAGATCCCTCTTTCTGCCCTTCAGATGAAACACCCTCTAGTCTGCCTAAAATTATGAAAATATAATTACAAAATTCACGTCTTCAGGAGATGTTTTCTGCCCACTTATACACGCTCCCACACTGACATTTTTTTACTCATGAATGTTTGATATCTTTCTTCCTATAGAAAACCCAGAGTAAATACATGGAAAATATGCAAAAGATAGCTTCCATAACAGTGTTTGTGAAGGTTGTGAGGTGTTGATTGAGGTGCTATGACTGTCATCATGTTGTACACACACAGAGGTGATCATATTTGGACAAAAGGGGAGAGTGCTAAGATGTCAGCAACTTTACCCATCCAGATACATCCATCTAAAGTATTTAAAGTAACCTGCTAATTAGCAATATGTAACAAACGAATCAAATACTCGTGGTTTGTTTTTGGAACTCCAGATAAAAGTTTCTGTTACTGAGATTGCCTCTTGGGAAATCAGAAGACGGTGCAGTGAAAGATGGGCGAATAAGAGATATTGTTGCAGAAATAGTTCTATCATTTGAGTTTTGATTGTGAATTTGAAGATCATAAAGTTGAAATCATCAGTAAGAGTTTAGTCTTTTAATGTCTTGCAAGTTTTTAAAAAAAATAGTGTTTAAAAGAAGGATCAAATCGAAGTATCAACCGTGGTCAAATAATAATTTTGATGCATCTATTCTGATCACCTTTTGAACAGGTAAGTTGACTCATCTCCGGAAAACTTTGTTTAATAAAAAAGTTAAAAGCCTACTTTGTGTTGGGGTCTCCTGTACAGAACCTCTCTGGAAGGCAAACGTCTGCTACATAATGAAGAGCTGACAATCATTTTAAGATAAGTAAAACTCTAGTGTGAAACCTGCAAGATATTTTTTAAGGTGCTCTGGGAAGGAACTGGGTTCCATGAAAAGAACAAAAAGATTTCTTTCCAGTAAACAAAATTAAATATCATGTACTGTGTTGGTATTTGGCATATATTTGAAAACATTACTTGAGAAGACAGAAATGCTACAAGGACACATAAGAATATGGACAACAGTGAAGATTTGTGTCCTTCACTTTTTTCCCTTAGCCTTTGGTTCTAACCTTACCTATCATTTATCGTCTGACTCCTCCCTTTTCCTTCTCTACCCTCCCCTGAGCCACGCCTCAACAATCTCTGTGTATCCATTATTAACAGCCAAGTTGAAAAGATGCAGAGATTAAGGTCCATACCCGAAGCCTTGGAAACTGCTAAGCAAAGACTCACAGCCTTGGCCAGCTGATTGAAGATGTACAACAGAGAGATAGAAGGCAGGAGAATGAACCAGTTGTTCTCCACAGAATGAGCCAAGGTGTACTCTCAGTGGCAGGGGAACAATATGAGAACAGCATCACCAAGGCTGGAGACGGAGCAATACTTCTCCCTGATGGGAGAAGGACACGACCCGTAACAACAATGCTCAGTGGCTAGTGGATCTAAGAGCAGACCACAGCAACCTCCCTGAACAGAGTCCAGTAACCATCACAGTGGGAGACATCCAAGAAAGGGTCTCCAGTATGAAGAATTGGACAGCACCAGGCCCTGACATGGTTCACACCTACTGGCTGAAGAAGCTGACTGCACTCCATGAGTGTCTGGCAGCACAGATGAACCAGCTGCTAGTTGACGAGAGACACCCGGAATGGCTAACCAAAGGCCAGACAGACCTGATCTTCAAGGACCCCCAAAGGGACCGCTCCCATCCAACTACCGACCAATAACCTGCCTTAGTACCACATGGACGCTCCTGTCAGGCATCATAGCGGCCGAGCTACCAGAAGGCAACAGTGCAGACATAGAGGACAGTTACGAGCACCTGGGGATCCCACAGGCAAATTGGAACCATGAAGAGGCCGCTAGAAAAGCTGCAACCACCAAGTAGCTGCAGAGGGTCAGGCAAGTCCTGAGGAGTCAGCTGAACGGTAAGAACAAGATCCGGGCCATCAACACCTACGCCCTGCTGGTGATCAGGTAACCTGCTGGGATAATAAGCTGGCCAAAGGAGGCGATAGAAGCCAGTGACATCAAGACCAGGAAGCTCCTGATCATGCATGGAGGGGTTCACCCCGAGTCCAGCACCCTGAGGCTATATGCTAAGCGGAACGAAGGAGGCCGGGGACTGGTGAGTGTCAGCACCACAGTCCAGAATGAGACAGCCAACGTCCATGAATACATCAGGAGGATGGCTCCAACCGACTCCGTGCTCAGTGAATTCCTCAGGCAGCAGAAACTCAAGAAAGAGGAGGAAGAGGAGGAACCATCATGGAAGGACAGGCCCCTGCACGGTGGCTGACATCCAGAAATCCTACCAGTGGCTGGACAAAGCTGGACTGAAAGACAGCACAGAGGCACTAATCATGGCAGCACACAACTCTGAGCACAAGATCCATAGAGGCTGGGGTCTACCACACTAGGCAAGATGTGTGTGTGTGTACACACAGAAGCAATATAGCATCCCTAAAAGTGACCAATCTTGCTAGTTTGTGTGCATCAACATGCCATCACAAGGAATTCAGAGCGTAGCGAAACACAGACAACGGAGGCTCAAATATGTGCACTCGCTACACACACAGAAATGCACGTATTCACACAAACACTGAAACCCCCATGCACATTTACAAAAGGGGACATGTTCATTGATCTAGAAGTGATTCTAAGTTAAAACAACTACAAAGGACTAAAAAGCACAACCATGCTCTGACGGGTGTGTAAAAGCATGATGTTAATATCTGTGTCTATACCTTTGTCCATCTACATATTTATGTGTGTATGTGCACGCAAGTGAGTGTGTGTCTAAGTCTACTTGATTCTGTTAAGTCCCTCCAGGTGAGCATTCTGCGTGTGTGCTCCAGTGTGGGTCTCAGTATGTGTGCATGCTCTCAGGCAGTACCAGTTCAGGTCACTGACTCTTGCTATTTAATGTTAAAGTTCTGGCTGTATTGTTGTCTGTGTGCATTTGTAGATTCTTGAAAGAAGAGACCCAAAATCGATTCAATTCTTGGTTCTTGTGCATCAACGAGTATGTTCTTTCCAGCCAATGAATCTAGCATTGCATCGTGCTATCCTAGTATGAATATTAACAGTGTTCCCTTACTTTTGTATTCTAGGTGAAAGCCTGCTGCCACCACACTGATGTCACTTTGAAAGTGAAGAAGGAGCTGATTGGATGTTGAGTTGAGGAGAGCAGGAGCTGTTGTCCCTGAAAAAACACAAAAAATAAAGATATCATAGACCAGGTGAATGATTAGAAAAAGCATTAAAGTTTGAGGAATATAATATTAGATATACAGGAAGGAACCCCTTTCTACATAATGGTGCCTCTTTTTCAGCAAGACTTAGACTATAAGTCTTATTTAAATCCCAGGACCAGCTGGGAAATTATGTGCAGAGAAGGTGAACAACCCCTCACCCTCCATGGATAGCTAGCATTTTAGTGTCCTTATGTGAAGCGGCCCTTATCTGCCCCAGTGAAGCTGCTCAGTGGTCAACACCAGATCACTGTGGTTATAGTGGGTAGCTCCCCGGTGTGCCTTCCTTAGAAGGGCGCAGTCAGTTGTGTGTGGGTGGGTGTGTGCATTGCCCTATGGGCAACATGTTTTATGTGTGATAGCTGTGTGACAGGTATGTGCTTGGGGCAGGTCACAGGGGAAACTCTGCAGGGAAATCATAAAAGGTTAGATCATTCTTTATCCCTGCCTGTCTTCTTTCTATCCCTTTTTTATTTTCCTTTTCCTCCACCTTCAGTCTCATGGTGACACTCTTCTTACTGACTGCTTAGAATTGGAAGAATTCTGTGTCTTAAAAAGATTTATTCTTTATTTAAGATATATATCATATTTTTGGTATTACAACTCATCCATCACAGCTCTCCGGTGTATGCCATATGTGTGTGTATCTATAGTTTAAGAGCTGCCATATCTAATTCATCATAGATCTTGTGTGTTTGTGTGTGTGTGTGTATCCATAGTTTAGAAGCTGTCATCTCTCATCCATCATAGGACATTGTTTGCATGTGTGTCTGTGCATAACTTAATGCATTTAGGTGCATGTGTGAGCATGCTGTCTTACCAGAAAATGACCCTAATTTGGGAGCCGTCATGTCTCCTCCATCGTAGATCTCCAGAGAGTCCCAGTTGTGCTCAGTAGCAAATGTCATTACTTGGATCTAAATAGCCAACAATGATAATAAATGAACACAACAGCCAACAGCTTCCTCCAAAATTAGTGTATATCCAGTAGACTATGCATTTATATTTAAGTGTATATATATCTGTACCTGAATCCCAGCCCCTTCACTGACATGAATCCTCCACAGACAATTGAGACTGTTTGGGTAGGGTTCAGGATAGCCAGGAGACAGTATTGTCCCGCGACGTTCAGTCAAATTACCACTGCAGGGAACTAGAATGAAGACATAAAATCCACAATTCTTGGCAAAACATTATAACTAAATGCCAACAGATGGGCCAGGATATTGGAATATGGCTCTTCGTTCCTAAAAAAACACAATATGGTCTTCAAATTATAACAACAGCGAGCCAGACAGGAAAAATAGGAAAACAAACACCTTTTATGGCATAAACTGAGGTGAAAGTTGAGGCTTTTTACAAAAAACACAGCTTTCAACAGGAACGCTAGAGTTCACACGGATGCATTTAGTTTTAGAAATTAACTTCAATCATTACTCTCATTAACTAGTACAAGATGCTTCACAGAAAGGACTAATTACTCAAGGCCTTTTTTCATCTGCGTTTTCATCAGTGCTCTCTGGGGATGTTAAATGTCATCAGCGAAGTATCCCAGAATGCACTGCATGCCAACGAGTATGATATTGATGGTGAAGAGCTTAGGCTTAATGCTGCTGTTTGTTTCAGAGGACAGCTGTTAAGTTGTTTTATTAATTTTTTCTGGGTTTTTTTTTCAGATAGTCCTTCAGTCTTTCGCTTATCCAGATTTTGCATTAATACTTAATAATACTCAAGTCTGCACAGACCTGTTCAGGGATCTAAGGTCCTGCTTGCTGGGTGACATCAAGCAGTCATACTGATGACTCTCACCCTGGCTCTCAAAATGACAGTTGGCAATGTTTACAGTCATGCCAGGGAAAACAGATATATCTCCCTTTGGTTATCTATTGTTATCTCCTTTGTTGTGTTTCAAATGTGATATCATTCTTACTGGAAGATAAAACTGGATCATTGATTTGAAAGAGATATTGTTTTGCTGTCAGTCTGTCTGATGGTTAAATCAAACTACGTGTGGCCTTTGGGGTCCTTTGCACAGTTATCCAAAATTATAAACAACTGGGGACTTTATTGATGCTTAAGACAATTTTTAGTCTTACCTATACAAGTTGGTGTTGTTGTGTTCCACTGCGCAAGGGCACCTGGCACCGCCTGGCACCGAATCGCATTGGATCCCTTTAATAGATATCCTGGATTGCACTCAAACCGAACCACAGAGCCCACTGAGAACTCTGAACTAATCCGCCTGCCATACCGAGGCTCAGGTACTGAACTGCACTGGCTGTCACTGGTCCGAGGGACAGCTACAATAATGAGAGGAATTACATGATTCAAGATGAGGAAAGACGGGAAATAAACATATGAGCAGGGAGACTTTGAAGTTAATCTTGAATTGAACATATGTTATTGTGTTTAAGTGAACACATGTCAAACACAGAGAGAATTACCTTGGTAGACAAAGTGAAAGCCTCTAGCTGATTGGCCACTTTTAGCATTGAACCGGAGCATGATTTGATTGGAAGTTGCCAATGGCAGCGTCTCTCCTGAGAAAAAAACAAAACAAAACAAAACACATACATCACAATGATTTCAAAATGAATTTTAATCCAAAAACGTTTTTGTAGAAGCTTTAAAAGTAGAAGACAACAGCAACAACATACAGATCCTTTTTAAACCTACATGTGCTACAAAGATACAGACTCTCAGTTCCACAAACATTCACTGTGCATTTAAGTATATGTTAAGTGCCTATATATTTAAGAGTACCAGCTTCCATTCATAACTCAGCAATAAGCAGGGTTTTTCATTCTTTTTCGCTTTTTGGTAAAATATGTGCCTCACAAGAATTAAAATGCAAAACAAAGACGCACACACACGTGCACACACCATCTCAGCAGGCATACACAAACAGAGATTTATATGCACACACATACGCAGGCAAATGAAGTAACAGTGATAAATGGGTAAAACATGGCCTGGTGTGGCTGACATTTAGAACCATCATTAGCAGCACGGGGATCAGGATGTGTGTGCGTATGTGTAAGTCTGGTATGTGTGTATGTGAGTTAATATGTTTGTGAGTCAGGGAAATCAGTCAGTTAGGTGGAACAATGTGCTACAAAGCTGTTTGCCCCCTTTTTTCTTGTGTATGCGTGTGTGTGCGTGTGTGCACATGTGAATGCGTGCGTGAGTAACGGGTAATGATGCGGATAACATTATTTTGTAAAGCGTGGTATGTTTCATTCGTTTTCAGCCAAAAAAAAAAAAAAAACCTCAACGCAAAAAACCCAAATGAACTTCAAGGTATGAGTCATTCATTCTATATATACCATTACCAATTAAATTAGACGGGTTGTATTTATCAGAAAAAAGGCAGCTACATCCAGTCAACACACATAAGTCTCACTGATCTATGAGCACAAAAAAGCAAAAATGTAAGCTCGCTTGTCTTTTTATCAAACTCTAAACCACTCCACTATTATAAGGAACTTTACTCGTAGTTGTAGTTACATTGTTTACTAAACACAGTAATTTTCTTCCCTTATAATTCTACAAGCAAAAGGAGGTAGCAAAAGTGGGGGAGAAAAAGAATAAACACAAGAAAGAAAATATTCTGAAAGTTATGATTTTGACATAAAGGAACTAAACGTCACTTCTAAGGGGATTCCCCTGCAGCGTGCCTCCAGGCCATAACACACGAAATTCACACAAAAGTTAAACTCTGAGGCGATGCCTTCGCACTTTACCAGCAACGATGTTAATCATTTTTTTTTATTTTTTTATTTAACAAATTATTATTAATATCCTTTCATCTAGATCAAATTAGTCATATCTTTCTATTTCCATCCATCTGTATTACTGTGTAAAGACTCAAAACATTGGCAAGCTAGGGTGACTCAAAGTTGGAAGATAAGAAAACCCATGGAGGATTCTGTTAAGGAGTATCAGTGCTACTGTATGTTGTATGGCCCCAGTGAGACGCTTTCCACTGCTGATTTCCTCTTGTAAAGATAACCCGTAATGGATTTTCACCAAATACATCACTGTCAAATAAATTGTGATAACGACCACTGGTGCTGTGTTCTACAGCCCCCCAGAGCTGCTTTCTTACAGAAGATTTCATTATTTTTCTCTTTCGAAAACAGCTCAACAGTGCAAAAAAAAAGAAAAAAAAGGGAAAATTGTAGGTGGGGCAGCTTTTCAAAAGTATAATATCATGCATATATAAGTGAAAAAACAATAAAATAACAGTTTCTTTGATGACAATATAATATTGAAAAAAATATAAAAACTGCATTCCTCAGGCTGTTTCTGGCACTAGAGTTGATCAACAGACTCACCTGAATGTGAACCAGCCAGGGAGCTGAGCAATCGGGCGTTGTCATTGGGTCCATCAAACAGTTCCACTGAGTCATTCATTGCTGTTTGGAAGACAGCAAACTGACCAAACACCACTGGACAAAAAAAAGAAATAAATAAAAACAAATTGGGACAAATGATTATTTCAAAATTTGAACAAGTCTTCTGTGCTTTGATTACAAGACTGACTGTAAGCAGTTTTGTAATTATGCACTTACCGAACTGAGGCGACACTGTGATGTAATAGGAGCAAGTCTGTTTTGTCGTGTAGTTTAAAGGATAGTTTGGAGACAAAACGACCCCTTCAGATCCACCGTACTGTCCTCCGCATGGCGCTGTGCACAGAAGGTGATTATTAGAAGCTTTTCATTTAATAGATTTTAGAATGTTATTTAGATATTTTACAACTACAGCACAATAGCCACATGTTTTATAAAGTAGTAAATAAACACATTATTTGAAAATATGCATACCAAAGTACACAAAACCAGGGTATTCTAAATTAAATGAACTCACACTGATGCACACAAATTTTGATTGTTGCAAATTGTGGAGATACTACTGCACAATTAAAAGTGTGCACGTAGCTGCAGTTCTTGGACATATAAAAACCGTATTATTAAAGAACAGTAGATACCGAAAGGACGTAGAATACCAACCCAATACTAATTATTCATCCAACCTGTTGTTTAGCCCAAACAGGTCACCAATCAATCACAAGGTCAACACAGAGAAACAGACAACGACATACAGCTAGAGTCACCCGCTAAACTAACATGCAAAGAGCAGGAGGAAGTCCACGGAGGCACATGAGAACTTACAAACTCGGCACAGAATCTGACTGAGAGGTTTAAACCAGGAGCCTTTTTGCTGTAAGGTGACAGTGCTAAGTACTACACCAACATGCTGTCCCCAATATTAATTAATTTGATGTTAAAAAGACACAGATGCAACTTAGTATGCAGGACTTGGCATTGGTATGTAATATGATACGGTGGTGGTCATATTCATAGCGATGATTCAGGTCTGAAATTCTGTCTCACAGAACATTTTATCAGTGCAGCAGTAACCCCTTGCTCACTTGCATTAATGAAGTTGAGCCCTTCAGGCTCACAGCAGTCTGCTAACATTTGGTATTAACTATATATCCAAACAAATGTGTTTGCGATGCTCTCCATAATATTTCTGCATAAGCTCCACCTGCTACTTTGTAAAATGATTTTAGTAGGAGTCTTAATCAAGGTTGATTAAGACTCCTAGAACCTCTACAACGACGTTAGATCAAACATGTAAATGTACGAGTAATGCAGAACTACATAATATTTATCAATTCAAGTGTGATAAATGTTTTTGAATCTTATTGTCTTGAGAGTAATCACTGTTCCAAAATGTATATAAAAGGCAGTCCTAGGCACTATGAAATAAATTACTCCCTCAGTACATTCAGATTCTGCTAGGTAAGACTTACAGTGGAGCTATGCCATTACTTGGCTCACAGAATCATATTTTAGGATGGTTCATTAGTTAACAGCACATTTAAATACTGTTAACTGGAAACTGTCCATTCATTATAGGATGTTTGCTTGTTTGTGTTGGTTCCATAACAGACTGGAAATCTGCTTAATGGATAAAATTCTCACACGGTGTCATGACCTTATATAATATAAATAAATATAGACAAAGCTAAACATAGCCATCATTTAGAGTACAGAACAGTGAGTTTTTGTTCAGTGACATGTTGTTGTACTCATCTATTGCACATTGTACGCATATTTTTTATGCATACAATGTGCACAAAGTTTAAATGTTGCGAGCCATTTAAAGGTTTAGAAGGTTTATACTCGCAACCAAGTGCAGGGATGTCTATATTTTGGTGCTCTTTTATTTTTTTATTTCTTATCAAGTGTACTTTTCTTTCAATCTCCAGAGTGGCAGGAAAAAATCCCGTGGATAAGGTGAAAAGGAAACACTCACCTCGCCCTCATTACTATCACTGAGCAAAGCCCTCAACACCCAGTGGAACTGTGGAACTGCTCAGTGGTCAACAGATCAAAGTCTGTTTGTTCTGGACAGTCTCCAGGAGTGACACTGTGCGAGTGTGATCAGTAACATATCGAAAAAGCACACGTTGACTATCAGTGGCAATTATCTGAAAAAACTAAATATCAAAATTTAAAAAAATGTACCCTAACTTGCAGAAACAAATGCCCTTACATATCCTTAACATCAAGGGTCAACGTAGCCTCATTGTTCCACTTCAATCTGTTTTGTAGATACAAAGAAAAATAAGATAAAAAACTTGAATGCGTTAGTGTAACTTTAACGCTCTAGGTTACTGATTAGAAGGTCAGGGTTTAAAGCCCCAACACTTCCAAACTCCTACACTGAGCCTGTGAGAAAAGCCCTTAGGCCTATCTGCTCCAGGGGCAACATATCATAGCTGACCCTGGACTTTAATCTGAGGCTCTTAACAAGCTGGGATATGCAGGGGAAAAAATATCACTATACTGTAATACACGTGAAAATAAAAGCATCCTCTTCTGCTCCACTGCTACTCTACAACTAAGGTAACAACATTTCAAGGAACATTTGGCATTAGTGGCCAAACAGTTTCATCCGCTTTGCTGCTTCAGTTATTTAGGGACATAATGTTGCAATAAAGCGTACAGATTTTAGCCATGTCTCTTTTTCTTTTTTTTCCCTGTTCCTGGGAGCACTGCCCATTACAAAAGAAGCTGGCAAGCATATTATTACTCTAATCTCTTGTGTTTTTTTTTCTCTTTTCTTCTTCTTCTTCTTTTTAATCCAACTGACTGCAATTGGCTCCAAAGTTGTTTAGTTTAGCAGAAAACTTGTGTTGTCCCCAAATATCACTTGGGCCGTTGTGGCTCCAAGGCTTTGTTATATAATGTAAACGTCTTCTGATATCTATCTGGGCATGTGCATTTGTGTATGAGAGTGTGTATGTATGATATTCACTTAGGACAGAGCGGAATATATAGGAAATCTCATTTTTCATCTCATCATTAAATGTGGGAAATTGGTAAAATATACATATATTTTTTTAAAAAGTGATGTCTCCACTTAACGGAGTAAAAAACAATCAACGACACTGTGGATTCTTTGGGAAAAAAAGCCTCACGCATTTACCCATAAACAACACATCCCATGGCACTATGAAGCATTAAGTGTGATGCAGCAGCAACACTTGGTGGCTATATATCACATTAAAAACAATTCAGGAGAGGGCTATAACAAAGAGCCACATGTTCTTTCATAAGTGAGATCAAAGTTCTGGTGCACCCTCTTCAAAGTAGTTAGTTCCTCTTGACAACAACACAGCGGGATAAAAACTTTAGTGGCTGAATTTATGTGGTGCTGTGCAAGAGCACAGTGTGGGATCTCCTGTATTAGTGTAGTGCAGTTTCAAAAATAGCCTATTAATCCATACCACCAATGCATGACCCACAAGAAACACACCTAACAGTAGCTTGTTCCATCTTTTTGCACCCCCAAGGGAGCTGCAAACCTTTTGCGAGAACAGCATGTGGGTGTGCAGACATTTATATTGCAGGTTAGGTCAGCAGAGGTCATTGACATTTGTGTAAGTGTCTCTGAATGTGTGTGTGCATGTGTGTGCACAAAAAAACAGCAGCAACTAGCAAATCTGTCAGTGTCACCTTCCCCGGCACACGCACACACTCACCATGTAAGTCTTATCCCTTCCCTTCTCACCTTGTCCGGCCTCTGCTCTTCTCGTCTTGCTATGGTGTGTATAACTTTGGCTTAGTCCAAATGTGCACCCACAATATCAGCTGTGATCCCTAGTGGACTATAATTAGCGTCACCTCCGTGCTTGTTGAAAGTGTGAGAGCATGGGAGTGCAAAGGTTATAAGGACAGCCTGAGAACTGGGCCAGCACTCTGTGAATTAATATACTGCCTGGGTTAGAGGTCCATCTGTGAAACTAAGAAGTGACACTAAGGGTGTGGGTTCATATGTGGTTTCATAAAACTGTCTGATAGTAATTTAAAACACAGTATCATGTTAGCCTAAACGTTGTTAGTTGGTAGCCCCTCTAATGTTATTTTTCTTTCCCCTTTTGGATGATTTTGAACATCCACTTCAACAGCCCCTTGAGGATAATTCCCTCAAGCAAAGATTTCAGCATTTCAGTCTTGCGAAAACTGTGGGCTCAAAAATTCCACCAGAGAGCCCTGAAGCACTTTCCGATTTCTCAGTAGTACAGCCTTGAGCCCTCAAGGACTTATCTGCAACATATGTCATAGTCTTTGAGTCCATGTGTGGACATTAAGACTCACTCGGCAAAACTGATTTACATCCTAAGAATATAAATACAACAAAACTTGGTTTCTACTTCTTTGCTAGACAGTTGCTGTACTCCCACCTACTCATCCTCCACCTCCTCCCCACTCATATCCCTCTCTACTTTCTTCCTGTTTCCTAAAGCATCATAGTAATCATGCTCTTTCTTTCTTCTATTGATTGATACTTTCTGGATTGATTTTTGTTGTGCTGTAGCATTCAAACCCTCAGGTCTAGAGGTCTTGTCTTGATCTACCCACAATCTCCCAGTGGTGCTGCTCTAGGCTCAGGTGTCAGCCTTATCAAAAGCCTTCACACACACACACATGCGCTTTGATCATTCACACCCTCTGTCTCTCTCTC